CTTAGAGGGTATTTATACGAAGCCTGGGTTTGCTTCGTCTCTTTGGAGGGAAATTTATGTAGAAGAATTTTATCATTTAAAATAAAAATAATAATTAAAGAAAAAATGTGGTTGGTTGTTACGTACTAACAGAAAGAATCACCTCAAGGTTGAGTATGAAGAAGCAAACCCAAACCACAGTCGTAAAGTCTTAAGCTATAATTACGATTATGCCACTTGAAATTTAACATTTTAGATAAAATTATTTTGATATATAAATATATAATGAAGATCATTAGTGAAGTGTGTTCACTTCTTTTTTTGACAATAAGTAGGAAGAAGCCATATAGTAGCTGGAAATAGTGATAACAAGGCCCAGTTGTGGTTAGAGAATCATTTGTTTCAACTAATTGCTTGATTTTGAAGATTATTTAAAGGGATAAGATTGGTCTTTTTTTTTTCTTGACAAAACTTGCAATATCATTGAACTTAAACAAAAACATCATAAATTCTTTCTATGCATTTTAATTCTCTAATATCATAAAAGAAAAACTTAGAAAGAGGCTTTTGCTTTATCATCACAACTATAACCAATTCCTTTTTTAATGGTGGTACTTGCCAACATTCATTAAAACAGCAATTATGGGTTTTTTGGTAACACAGAAGTTTCCCTATTTCCACTGCTCCTATCTTATCATTGTCAATATCATTTGTTTGTTAAGTAACCTTTTTGATTTAACATCAGTGATAAAGTTTAAATCTGGTGAATTTGGTGCAAAACCTTTGATTAGAAAATTGGTTGGTGAAGCAAATAATCAACAAGATCTACTAGGCTTCTTCATTCACAATTACATGCAAGAAACTGAATCATGTAAATAGATGAACAACTAGAGATTAGTGTCTTATATACAAAGGCATGGTGATGAAGAAATAAATAGATGCAATCCAGAAGCAACGCCTTTATCTTCGATTTTCTTGGGAACATACTAAGCTTTTTTCTCCTCTCTGAATCCAAAAAAATGCCAATAAAAAGTTCAAAAATGTACTCTTTTGTATAGCTTTAATGGGAAGATTTCGACTTACGTGCGTGCCCTCTTCTTCTCCTTGAGCCTTGAGATGGCCTTTTGTCTTGCGTTGTTAGAGAGAGGGGAACAAAAAGAGATGACTTCCTCTGAGTGATTGTGAGGGTAATGCGCTTCGCTGCCTCCTCCTCCGTTAGATCTTGAGAATGAAAGAGATGAGGATGCTTGTTTAGGTGAAAAGATCGAATTATTGAATGGCGAAGAAAATGTCTTCATCTGAACACATCAAAGGTAGAGAGACCTTAGGTTATAACAAGAAGTAATTAGCTATCTAAATTCATTAGTAGAAGGAAGATTTCAAACCTCAAATGATTTGCGGGCTGATGTTCCCGCAAAGAAGACATTGTTATTGTCTACAATCGGATCTGTATCAGCGCCAAAAATCTCTTCAAAGTTTCGGAAAGTGAGATCAATGTCAGGTATATGGAAGTCATCGTCATCGCAAACTGTATCTTCACAAACTCCAATGTCTTGTATATTTTGATGCCACAACTGAAAAAAAAAAACAGAGCTAATTATGTAAGTAATGGCTTCACTAAGACTAATGTATGATATTTGAACCAAACCTGACTGTTCTTGTTATATGGACTTTTGCATTCCCAAAAGGAATCACCAAGTGTGGAAGACGAGGACAAGTGTGAAAAGTCAACAATTAGATCTTTTCCAGTCTGAGGAAGATCGATTAACCGATCTTCAGATTGCTTCGGAAGCTCTAATGGAGATGGATCATCAGCTTGTTCTGTCAAGGACAAAGCATCATTTACTTCCCTAAGCTGAATCTTCTCCAATTCAAGAATCTGTTCCAAGATGATGAAACCAGCTTCTCTTTGCACCTGAAAAGTCATCAAAAAATCATCGGTACATCAGCAAAGAGAGAGATCTAATCATCTCAAACCTCAAAAAATGTATACAAAACAAGCATCAAACCTTGTTCATTACGGATTGTCCCTTAAGTTTAACCATTGAAAAAGATTGTTCTAACGAAACATCATCATCCGTAACTCGAAAACCCCACATAACGGCGAAATCTTTAGCAGAAGGACAACTCGTGTAACAGCTCACATCTCGTCTATTGTGCTTAGGGGAGACACAACCATGGAGCTTATCATTGCATCCATTACACAAAAACATTTTGTGGTCAAGACATCGAACAACACAAGGCTGATTCTTACAAGAATCGCATAAAAGTGTTCGTAAATGTCTCCCTGAGAGTGCATTAGCTGAATGGACCTTTGCATCACAGTTTAGACAAAGATTTGCTGCATCGGCTATACAATAAATCACTGCTCTATATGCTTTACAAAACTCACATCTTCTTTCCATTTTCTCAAATTATTATTACCAAAGATCCTTTGGATTCTCCAAAATATCCATAACATAAGAAAAAGATTCGTTCCTGTTTCATCAAAATACCAAAATTTATAGCAAAAGTTTAGTCTATAATCACAGATCAAACACAATTTATAATAACAATAACAACAAAAAAAAGAGAGAAGATTTTACCTGTGAGAGAAGAAAGTTTTGTTCTCTGAGAAAACTAAAGTCAGAGATTTGTGACACAGCTTTCTCTGTTTTAGGAACTTCCTAATCTGATAAAATCGTCGGGTCGGTTTTTTTTTTGTTATGATGACGTGGCAATGCCACGTAGGTTTTAGTGGGACCTACATATGGGTGATTACGTTATCCTTATGCACGTGAGAGATATGGGGAAGCCACGGACGTATGTTCCACCGTGACAGCTTCTTTGTCGACCCATCATCCCCAAAAAGCTTACCTTTTCCTAACCAATAAATGCATGCCACGTGTGCTAGCCGAACCCGGACCAAACAAGATGCTATTCTTGGCTACTTGCAAGTTGCAATTGAAAGATACACTTAACCGAATTAAACCAAAAGAGTAAAGTAGTGTTTGGTTTTAAAAAAATCTTCATTACCGGATCAGCCGTTGATTCTGTCAAGGTTTTGTTTGTGAGAAGTTTTAAAGTTGCCAAGTGCATATACTTATAAATAAG